ACTACTTATAGTGGTAAACACCCCCATGAATAAAATTCGTTGAAACAAAAGCTTTTACTTTCCATTCGTATTATTAAAAATGCTTTACAAAAGCATCTCTGAAGATTTAATTTCTTTTATAAAAAAAGGTTTACAATTACAAATACAAAAATGTTTTCACGAATTTTTGAAATTTTCTATTTCAAAACTAAGCACTTATATGTTTGTTTTGATAAGTTTTTGTGTATGCAATACTTCTATTTTCAGATAAGACTAAAAAAGGATGCAACCTGTAAAGAAAGAAGGGTAATTTCACGTAGTTAAAAGATTCATTAAAACTAAGTTAGCTACTACTCTTGATAAATAGATAAAAATAGTTTAAATAAAATTAGTTAAAAGCTTTTAGAGTTAGAGTAGTTAGTTAGCTACTACTTTTGATAGAGTGTTAAACATTCAAAACAATTGCAGAACTTGAATAAAATACCCAAAATAATTGTAGAGCTTGAATAACATTAGTTAAAAGCTTTTACTTTATTATGAGTAGTTGGTTAAGTACTACTTTTGATAGAGGGTTAAATACTCAAAACAATTGTACAGCTTGAATAAAATTCGTTAAAGCTTATAATAGCTTTCATTCTATCATGAGTAGTTGGTTAATTACTACTCTTAATAATGAGCTAATCAAACATCCAAAATAATTGTAGAATTTAAATAAAATTAGTTAAAACATTTAAAAGCTTTTACTTTATCAAGAGTAGTTGGTTAGGTACTACTTTTGATAAAGGGTTAAATACTCAAAACAATTGTACAGCTTGAATAAAATTCATTGAAACATTGAATGCTTTTACCTTGCATTCATTACTAAAAGTAAAGTATTAATTACTGTTCTACATACATGCTTTTCAGTTCTAATTCTAATACTTTTTTAATAACTGACTTATTATTTGCAGACTTTGTCTTTTAATAAAGTTGTACTACTAAAAGGAACAATTTAGGACGATATACGTCAGGTATGGAACATTTAATTGAATAATGAACTATGTTTGAGACAAAAAGATAGAATGAAGAGAAAAAAGATGATTTTGTAATTAGATATTTATTTTATTCTAATAAAACGATTAATTCTACACTTGATCAAGTTTATATTGAGATACCACTTCCTGTGTGTTGTTCCTGTGCAGATGGAAAAGCAGTTTGGATTCGATAACATCAAGTGCAGCTCTTGTAAGTATAAGACTATCATGTTTTAACATTGAATATACATTAAGCCCATAGGCAGGCATCAAATTAATGTGTCTTATTTCGTCAGTGGCAGCAGTAATATTTCTCGGCATAATGTCACTTCTGCAATAACAAAATTTTTACATATAAACAATTTTTCTCTAACAATAATCAATACTTACTCATCAATAAAAAGAACAGAGGGCCCCCAATTTCGGGTTTTCACTAATTCTTTAATAAATTCTGGCTCATTTGTTGGCAATTCTAAATTTTCAACTATATGTAAGTCGTCTTGGGCCAGTTTTATTGAAAGGGCTGATGTAAGTCCAAGAACTCTTGTGTAAAAAGGTAACATGTAAAAATGGGGGGTTGGTGAACGTGGCCCATGGGCAATACCGCCTCCCCTAAACAATGGACTTCTAATTGAACCATGTCTAGCCCTACCAGTGCCTAAAATACCGCTCACATAATTTAATATTTATGACATACCAAAGTAAACGTTCATCATTGTTTACAGGTAGATTAGGACATTGTATATGCAAACTACTTACCCTTTTGGGGCCAAGGCTTTCTTCCACCACCTCTGACCTCATTTCTTGTTTTTGTATGAGCAAAACTTACATATCTGTATAATGTTTGCCACCTAACATTGTCATGTAAAATATCTATACGAGGATTTGTGGCAAACACATCAGGATGAAGATCTAACAAACCTAACTTCTTTTCGTCTATTGTATCCATGTTTTCCACCCATGCTTGTCTGGCAACTTGGTATTTAAATGGGTACTGCAATTCACGTCTGGATAATGATGTTTCGCTTTTATTGGCTGTAATTGAAGAACAGTAGTCTCTAATTAGACATCGACAGTGTTTTAATCGCGAAAACAACATTTTTCAACTGTTTACTAGATGGAAAAACGTAAACATAACCTATTGTTTAACCTAAAACAAACTAAACGTCAGGTAAGTTGTGTTCGATAATGTTACGAATTTTTCATTTACATTGTTTATATTTTTCCTTTAATTTTTTAATAGTTTACAGCAAAATCATAAACCATGTCTAATAAAATACCACTGTGATATATATTTTGTCTTTATTGCNGTGTATAAATTACACGTTTGGGACGTACCGTATGTCGAGAAAGGTTTTTTCTTCTGGGTTTTTATAAATGACGAAAGAATACTAACTAATTGATACAACAGTAACAAACAATAATAACGGGAGTCAAGCATAATATTATTTATACGTTGTACACATGGCAAACAATTTATTTACATTCATTCATTTCTAAAATATATTTATACGTTATTGTTGTTGTTACATTTGTTGCGAATATGTGTCTGTATTATCACTAAAAGCCACTGATAAAAGTTCACGAAGTTCTCTGTGAATATTTAATCGGTCATTGCATGCGTTAGTTTTTAATCAATGAAATAGGATTTGTTAATGAAAACAGATTTTAATTAAAACAAAAAAAAATGGTCAAACAACTTACTCATTCGTTGTTAAAAATTGTGACAGTGTTATTATTGTGTGTGACAATCAGTTTTGGTGGTGTTAGTTTACAGGATTACGTTTTATTTATTATTTAATTCATTATTTGTATAAAAACATTTGGTACAATTTATTTCACTTACACGTAAAATCACAGTGATTAGCATCAACCAATCAATATTAATAAATTATAAAACTACAATAACTATCTAAAACCTTATAGAAAAGTTTTGGAAGTCAGGTTTGGCCAAAGTTTGCCAGTTTGTAAGTTCACATTTTTCTATTTTGCATCCTGGGGATCCCACATTTGATAACCAATTCACTCTGCAATAAAAAAGAAAAAAGAAAATTATAAAATAACATTTAGAGCTAAGATACAAAAAAAATATTGTGGGATAACGAAAACGTCCACTGAAAAGTAGTAATTTAATATTAAGGGGTTTCGCACCCTTCAATAATCCTTAGACAAGCTGACAAACTATCTCATAAGCTGTACCTTATTTAGATTGACTTTTAGAGTTTAGATACAAAAAATTAGTGTAGGATAAGAACAACTTCCCCTGGAAAATAATAATTTGATATCGAGGGGCTTCGCACCCTTTAAATAACTTCTAGACAAGCTGACAAACTATCTTATAGGCTGTACCGTATTTAGATTGACTTTTAGAGTTTAGATACAAAAAAATATTGTAAGACAAGATCAACTTCCCCTAGAAAGTAATAATTTAATATTAAGGGGCTTCGCACCCTTTAAATAACCCTCAGATCCGCTGACAAAGTATCTCATGGGTTGTACCGTATTTAGATTGACTTTTAGAGTTTAGACACAAAAAATTATTGCAATACAAGAACAATTTACCCTGGAAAATAATAATTTAATATTTAGGGGCTTCGCACCCTTTAAATAACCCTCAGATCCGCTGACAAACTATCTCATAGGCTGTACCCTATTTAGATTGTCTTTTAGAGTTTAGATACATAAAATTAGTGTAGGACAAGAACAACTTCCCCAGGAAAATAATAATTTATTATTGAGGGGATTCGCACCCTTTAAATAACCCCTAGACAAGCTGACAAACTGTCTGATAGGCTGTACCGTATTTAGACTAACTTTTAGAGATTAGATACAAAAAAATATTGTAAGACAAGATCAACTTCCCCTGGAAAGTAATAATTTAATATTCAGGGGCTTTGCACCCTTTAAATAACTCCTAGACAAGCTAACAAACTATCTCATAGGCTGTACCGTATTTAAATTGACTTTTAGAGTTTTGATACAAAAAATTATTGCAAGACAAGAACAATTTCCCCTGGAAAATAATAATTTATTATTGAGGGGCTTTGCACCCTTTAAATAGCCCATAGACAAGCTGACAAACCATCTGTTAGAGTTTAGATATTAAAAATTGTTGTGGGAGAAGAAAGACGTCCACCTAAAGGTATTTATTTAAGATTAAATTTAAATAACCCTTAAACTTGCTGATGAAATATTTTATAATCATTATCGTATTTAGAATTTTAATGTTCGCATAAAAAAATAATTGTGGGACAAGAACAACCTCCCCTGGATAATAATTTATTACTTCGAACGCCTAATTGAACTATTAATAAGGATTAAAATGATTGTAGTTATTTTACAGGTATTAAAATTTGTATACGAAATAAGAACTATCATTTTATTTTTCATTGACTACTATAGACCTTGATATTAAACCCGAAAATAGTTAATTATCACGATTGATTGGAAAACAATTAACGTTGATAGTGACGACGTTGAACACAATGGTCTAAAAATACTAAGAATTTTGGCACAACACCCAACAGCTAAGTACATATATGTTATGTTTATTTTGTTGAATGATTTTGTTATTTACACTAAAAATAATTAAATAAATTCATTCAATAAATAGAAAATTTAACGCATTTCAAACAACAAGAAAGATGGGAACAAAATAACACACGTATCTCTAAAAGGGTGTTTATATCTATCAAAAACTTACAATACATCGATGCTCGACTTCTTCCCTTGAATCTTACCACAGATTGTGCCCTTTTTTGTGTTCTTAATCCACCCAAATACTTGCCATTGTTCGCACAGTTCTCGGCAATATTTTTGAAAATTCACACCTATTTAAATTGAAAAAAACAATAAAACTTTCTAATATTTTTTTTTTTTGTATATTTA